TAAAAAAGTTTCCCTATTTCACTGGGTTCTAGGTTAATAAAATGTCAGCCTTTTTGTTTGCCATCTCACAAATAAATATTTTAGCATGGCAAAGTTTATGTTAAGCATAAGTGTGGTATACAAATACAATTAGCTGGAATCTAAATCCTAAAGTTTGAATGACATATTTTGGAAAGAAAAAAACAATGCATTTGTCATTTGTGTTCAGATGCAGCCAAAAAAGATCCATCATCTGACCGTGTCACAAACCTGGAAGTTTCAGCAGACATTGGAGAGTCTGTAACCTTGACCTTGTATATCATTGCTTACCCAAAACCCACATCTTACTCCTGGAGGAAAATAAACGGCAGTTTACCTTCTACATACAATCAGACAGATCTGGAGTATGCATCAACACTGAGGGTTGACAAGTTGAGTGACAGTGATTACGGCACCTATGTATGTAGTGTGGACAATGGTATTGGACAGTCTGTGTTCTTATTTAAACTGGCAAGAAAGGGTGAGTGTGATGGATGTAAACGGGAAATATGTTTTATGAGCATATTAAGTGTGCATGTTTTTAGTAACTGTAACAAAATGTATCAAATTTGTCTTTGGCCTCTGTCACACTCCGCTTGCAACTCTTTAAAAGCGTTTTAACTACAGAATCTGGTGGTCACTTGTTTGAAATCTGAATAAGTACTCGAGAGGAAAATTGTTTGGGCTTCCAACATTATTGTCATTGATGTTAACCTCACGCATCAGCGCTTGGTATGACGTCTTGCAGCCCCATTTCATCCCATTTTTACAAGCTTGTCTTGGCTTGGCAATATTTTGTTAGGATAACGAAGGTGGCATTCTGCACGATGTGACTGCACGGGTGATGTTCAGGCTCAGTGTTTGGGTGAGGTAGACAGAAAGACGCCAGAATGTTATAAGCGCAGAGTAAAGGAGACTTATGGAAAAAATTGTGTTCAGATCATTATCACGTATCTGTGCGGGTTCGGGATTATCCTCTGTATTAATACTTTAATTTGAACCATACCTCTATAATTCTATAATTTCAGGAAAGCCTGATGCCCCTTCCAATCTTGAAATGTTCAACGTATCAGCCATCTCTGTCACTGTGCAGTGGGTTTCAAACAAAGATGGAGGATATCCACAGAAATTTCTGGTTGAGTATAAAACCGTCGATGGGCCATGGATATCAATGTCAGCAGTTACAGATCCAGGTTATAAACTAACTGTATTGAAGAAATTGCCCAATTTACAACCAAATACTAACTACATGTTCAGAGTGGAATCAATGAATGGCTATCAAGGTGGGAGTGGTAAACAGTTTGCTAGTGGAGGATATTCTAACACAATCACTGTGAAAACGAAGGGTAAGAGTATTAACTAAATTAGATGAAAATAATGTATCAGTTTTGATTTTTTCTGTGACCATAAAATTACAAAAAAAAAAAGACTAAAAATAAAATCCATATATAAATATTCTTCTTAAATATCTGTTTATCAGCATATTTACTTTACGTCTACATGTACAGGCATAACCTACCTTGCCTCAAATATACTTGTGTCCTTAAGAAACATGCTAAATAAGGACATATTGTTTAGTTTGCATGCATTTGATGTTGGATATAACGGGAATGTGACGTAATTTCAGGGACTTTTTTTCACTGATAAACGATGAAAAGTGTATACTACTACGGAAAATGAAAATACAGTGATTTTGATGTAGTAAAATGATCAGAGAAAAATTTAAGAAAAAATATCAAACTAATTTTTGACCATATAACATAATGCTAACAACTTGTGTGTCTTCACTTTACTCTGACTGACGAATATCATACGACAATTTGTACACAGAGTGCATATACCAGTACATTAAATTTTACAATTACTAGTGGCTTTATTAAATTAAACAATAATACTGAATGAACTTGTAACATGACATTGCTTGATCACTTTAACTGAATCGTTTGCCATTCTATTAATGTAGAGACACAGAAATATATCAGAAACGAAAAGATAATATTCTAATATACTATTTGTAAAATAAAAAAAAACCGATTCTTATAATTAGAATAATGTCTCTATTCTAAGTCAATCGGTTTATACAGTTAAAGACTCGCAATTTGGCCCCTTCTGCTTTCATGCACCTAATCTTAAGAACTACCCTATAGAATGGATATAAACTATAGAAAATAAAAATGTAATATTAGTAAAATGTCTTTTAATCTAAAAAGAATAAGCAGGAAATGATATTAACCTGTTAAATTTAACCATTTTCTAGTAACTTTTCAACAAGGTTGTGTCAATTAAAAATTATATAATGTTTGTTATAACCATATACAATTTACGAGAAAAAAATCATGTAGAGAACATTCGCCAGAACATATATAGTACCATGTTCAGTTCGAACCATGTTGTACGATAGCAGAAAGAGCTGATAAAGTTACAGCCTTTTTTTTACCAAAATATACCTATCATTAAAAATACCCATTTAAAAATTGCATTAAAATATATTTTATTATATTCTTACCTTGGTATTGTTGCCTATCCAATTTTTATGGAAGTAAACTAGCTTAGATGATCATTTTTGACATATAAAATTGACGAAATAGTTCTTTATGGTTTGGATCCCTCTTAAATGTGTAATCTTGTCAATTGAATGATCATTCTTTAAAGAACACTGACACTCAAAGTGGGTCAAGTCAGAGCTCAGCCGCTGGATACTTGTTTTGACATTGATGTAAATATAACACATGCAATTCCACAATATGGAGTCGAAAAAATGCCGGAAGAATTCCATTTAGGAGACAAATTTCAAGTTGAGTTCTAAAAATTCAGAAGTTACATATTTTGGTTATCAATAAAATATGTGCACTTGAAGGTTGATGTTGGTTAACTGGATAGGAACCTGCGACATAATATTTGAAAAGCGGATTGAAAAATACATTCGGCTTAAAGAAGTATATGTGTGGATGGGGTGGACTATATGACCAAGCCTATACCATATCCGTCGTCTATGCATTTACATGATCATTATTGATAGCGAGCTTTTCATGTACAGTTCAGTTATACCTAATGTGTAAAGTCGTTCTGGGTATTTTTGAAAAATTGTCAATAAATGTTAAACATTTCTTACCTGTAGACAAACATTGTCATTTTAGTCCGTCCAATTATTCCTGAAACCAATGGCAGTGAGAAACCGTCTTTGACAATCTCAAAGGACATCGCTCTTGTATCTTGGACAGCCCCAAAGCAAGGTGAAGTAACATCATATGGTATCAAGTACTGTATTAAGGATACCCTGATATGTGTGGAACATCGTGTAAATAACAGCAGCACTACATTTGCAGCAGTGCGTATTACAGAAGGGAAAGAATATATATTTACACTGATTGTCTACCAAGGAGATGATGTTGTGTATGAATCTGAACCCTTTGCTCAAGGTTGGTAACATATTCTACAGTAAGAGAAAATATACAGTATATTAACTCACATTCTTTGGGGTCTGTCAAATAATTCTAATTAGGCAAATGATTCTAATCTGTTACCTTCTTATTGATTCATCAATAAGTAATAAAGGGAAAGAACGCGTTTCATAAAATCTGTTGAGATAAATGGTTACCATGGTTCTAAGGTAATAAGTGAAAAACAGCTTATTTTAACACCTAATATTTATGATTGTCCGTTAACATATTACGCATGTTAGGAAAGTGGCGTCGGTAGCGTCTTTCAGTGCATATTGTTTTCATATATAAATATCTTCAATTAACCTTTGTCACCAATCATTTAAGGAACCAGGCACGATGGAAGCCACGCTTATGAAGTAAACGTAGCAGCCATTGTTGGGGGTCTTGGTGGTGGAATTTTGCTCCTTGTCGGAATGGGGATTTCATTCATCGTTCGAAGAAAACTGTTTACATGCACGGGTAAGTTATCACGGGTGCATGTGAATATCAAATAATTAGCCAAAGAGTGCTCTGATACATGGCTAAACGTGTCCCATTATATCAGCTATTAGTATACCTTCAAATAATAAAGATCATGGAAAAAATTGAAAACATTGAATGACTCACTTTTCAGATTGGTCAGGAACTAAGGCAGAGATGGGGAGCGGTGCAAGGGATGTCATCAACATGAATCAGGTTATAACTGTGCTTGTAAATGTGCTTGCCTGTGCTTGTGTTTAAGTGAGTTTTGTATGATACATTAGTGTTATTAGTTTCATCTTATTTAACTGCTGCTGGACATTTTCCTTACATTTGTTACGTAAATATTTGCATTTAGACGTGAAAGACAATCATGACTGTCAATGAGGTAAGTAATTTGTTCCAAATATTGGATATTTTATATACATATTAGCTTAATAAGCCTTATCTTTTCTTATATAACCATATCTTATGTTATATATATTGTTTCAATCTTTGTTTGGTTTACTTAGGTAGAACAAGCAAGCCAGAGGGTATATGAAAGTCCAATACGAAGTGAAAAGGAATCCTCGGTGTACACCGAATTAAATGCTTCTGCCACCACAGTGGGTTACAATTTTCTATTTTACATAGCACAGGCCAAATGAATGCCTTAACCCTATGACACGGGGATACGTTTTTTTAAATTACTTATCATATTTAGTGCAATTCTTTTAGTTCATGCTTTCATTCAATGCATCTGCCAAAAAATCCAATAGAATTCTCACTTTCCACATTTTTCTTTAATTCCAATCAATTTCAGATTGTTTAGGATATTTGTTACCATATTTAGTCTCTGACTTAAAATGCTTTGTAGAGTAAGTTACTCTTGAATAGTACATCCATGATATACAAGAATTATACTTGGTTATGAATGACAACGGGATTACAACGGGGTAACATTTTAAAGGCCAAACATGGCGATTGCAGAAAAGTATCATCAACAATGCAATGGCTTTATAAAGGAAAATAAATCAATTGCATTGATGAATTTCAAAACATAAAAATAATATTAATGATGTGATGTTTTATTTTTACATAATGGATGCACCAGTGTATGCTATTGTTAAGGAAAAAAATGTGGAAGTTCTGAGACAAAACATCAAGATTCTAGAGAAGATAGGGAGTGGGGCATACGGGCAAGTTTACAAAGGAAGTGTATTGCAGCTCAATAGAAACCAAGGCTGGACAACGGTGGCTATTAAAACTATAAAAGGTAAAAATACTGTATGGCCTTGAAAATTGACAAAAATTAATTTTGGTTACCTCGATTAATAAACACAGTTTTGTGATTTATGACACGGCTTTAGTATTACGTTTACTCATATTAGTATAACATCCTCATGGATGTGTACTCCATGAACTATGCTGACTCTTTGCTTCCAGATGTAGAAAATGCAGCCGAGGCCAAGGGCTTACTGGACGAGTTAAAAGTTATGTTAGAGCTCAGCCCTCACCCAAATGTGGTTAGTCTACTAGGGTCCTGCACGGGTGATAATGGTAATATACAACCGAGTTTTGTGTTACCTTTAAATGTCTCAGATCCTATTTTTATAAAAACACAGACAAAAATAATGTCAGGACAAAAATAATTTCTATTATCTATTATAACCGCTGAGAGAAATGCACCCTGCATAGGCTTTCTGGTGTTCCAAAGATGTCCCGCCACGCTGTTTCATAGCCTTTCAGCGTCCGTGATCCCATCACCCAATAACAGTATACCACCGAAAATGTAATGAAACATTTAAAGAATTCAACCAGCATGTAATTTAAATGCATAAAATACTACAAAACCAAAGTTCTAACTTTTAAGAATGACTTGCCTTATATAGTTGTTTTGTTGCTGTATAAGGCGAATTTTTCGAGTCTCTACCTGGATCACGCAGCATGAGTATAAATGCTTTAATAATACTCATACTTGCTATTGCATAAACGCATGATATTCATATTGCAGTATTTGTACATTATAGGTGTACCTATGATAATCATGGAGTATCTTCCAAACGGAAATCTACAAGATTTTTTGAGAAATGATCGATCAAAGCAAAAAATGGTATATGGGAATTTGCATGGTGTCAGCTCTTCGTTAACATCACGTGATTTGATGAAGTTCGCCTTAGCCATCGCCAATGGAATGATGTTTCTTTCCTCAGTGTCCGTGAGTTTTCCTTCCAGTGTTGTGTACCGTTTTTTTGTCCAAATTTGCTCATTTTTAACACACACTCAGTGACTGCTGTATTTGAATTCAATTAATTGTGTTAAAGGTTGGTGGTTTAAGGTTTTTTTGCGGAGGAATTTTACTGGTGCAGTGTGCAGTGTGATTTATACAGTTTTAGTGAAGTGTCCATTTCAAATGAAACTGCCTTTCTGCATCTATCCCTCCTGATCTGTGGTGACTCTTGCTGAATGCAATTAGATTTACATATTATAGTTTCATTTTGATTGGGCATTCAGATGACATTAATTGCAAACCTGCAACAATTTCATGCACGTTATAGATTCTCCACAGAGATCTTGCTGCACGGAATATTTTGGTGGCTGAAGACAAAACATGTAAGATTTCGGACTTTGGTTTCGCTAAGGACGTCATTGAAAGTCACCAATATGAGAGAAAGACACAGGTAAAAGACGGTTTTAAATTGACGCAAATCGCAATTTTCCTAATAATAAAATGTATGAAAATGTCCTAACAATAAAATATTAACAACATGCTTGTATTGTGACAAATGTTCATGTCAGAAAGATAACAACGTGTACTGTATGTTGTCAGAGCAATTATTCATACGAAAAAGTAAATATCTTTGATTGGATGTCTCATTCAAAATTCCTCTTAAATGTCGTCAGGGCCGTTTACCAGTACGCTGGATGTCTCCAGAAGCACTGTATGACAACAGATATTCCACGCAGTCAGACGTCTGGGCGTATGGTGTACTGGTCTGGGAGATTGTCACACTGGGTATGTTTCTCATTTATTCAGTATGATTCATTATTTGTACTTTTCTCTGAATGAGAAACACAAACTATCACAAATTCTAAAAATGAAAAACAGGCAGTTAACTATATTTTTGTAATATCAGGTTTGTTAACATGATTATTAGTCTCGTATTAAAATAGTTTTTAATGGAGTATGCGATCTGTATGGCATGTTGTTACTTTTATAAGGTTCCAGTCCCTACCCCGGTATGTCAGCCAAGCAGGTGATGGAAGCTGTAACTGAGGGATACCGGATGCCACAACCACCACACTGTTCGCAGGATATGTAAGTTAAAACCTTCATGTATAAATCTGGTGTACCACTTAAGTAAGGTAGTAAGGTAGAAAATTCTCAGACCAAATGAAGTTTCTACATGTATGAAAACACTCTTATTATGCGTCTTTCTTTTTATCTTTTGAGTCATGTGTTTACATAAGAACATAACATTTCACAAAAGGGTGTTTGAAAAACAAGTTTGATACTTTATCCAGCACCTTATCTAAACTGTATATTTCAGGTATAACATCATGTTGTCTTGCTGGGAGGACAATCCAAGTTCACGACCCTTGTTCAAAGCAATAACTGTGTCCTTGAATGACCTGTTGTCCCGAGACTACGAGGTTCTAACTCTTGGAAAGTTTGAGGAGAAGCTTTATGAAGATATTGACCAATTTAGGCTTGATGAAAAATGTTAATAAAGGAAAGTTGATAATACAACTCTCATGGATATTTGTAAATTGATAGCTGAAAGTTTCAGAAGTTAATGTTTTTAGCAGGGAGTGAGTTCCATTTTCGCGAAGACGACATACGCGGTATTGTGTGCTCGTAGCCTACTTGCAGTTTATTCACTGCACTACGTATAGCCCTGGGAAAGTCGAAGCTGCATTGTGTATCGATAATAACAAACACACGTTAATATGACCCTCAAAACTGACCTACAGTACCTGTATGTATTTTATTTATGTGTGTTTTTATTTATGTATTTTTATTTCACTCATTCTAGTTTGAAATACGTATACAAATCACAGATTGTACATAGTCTAGAATCACGTGCAGTTCTTATGTATTCGTGTTATTAGTATTATATAGGTTTACATATTTAGAACGGTCATATCCTCTCACAACTGCGTCAAAATAATTGTTTTAGACCCCATTCCCAGAGATAAGATCGTACAACTAGATCGACCTAACTCCCTGGGGTTTCACGCTAAATAGCTGTCAGCCGAGCGGGCACGAAAGTTAATTACCCCCTTACAGCTTGTAGTAGGCGGGACGGACATTTAAGCCGGATTATCTGACAGTAATCTAGTGAGACTCTCCACGGGGATAGATCGATCTAAAGTATATGGGAATACGCCCATAGACGACGATTCAAGACATTGGAACTACCAATGTAATGAGATGAAACAAATGTTAGCTTGGGTATTATTTTCGAATTTGTATATAGCAATTTATTGTAGTTCAGTGTTTGTATTGATGAAAGATCATGTTCCTTTAGGCTAGCACATATTAATAAAACCAATCATCAGCTATAGATATATAATTTATTCCAATGTGAGCAGAAAGTACAAAGGGAAGTTTGGGCCTCTTTGCAACACCACAAATTGAAATGTGTGCACTATTTCTTTGGAAATTATATTTTAAATGTAGATATTTCAGGCCCACACATTGATGTTAAATGTCATTTGTCAACACTATTCAGTGTTTATTATTAATCTGCTTCATTTCTTTTAGTATTAGGACTTTCAATAAATGCGGCCGTCATCGGCCAAATTTCGAGCATCATACTTGAGTTTGTTACAATACTTTATCTGCATGTCGTTATATTTAAATTGGCTAAGATCAAGGAGACATAAAGTAATTTTATTTACAAACCCCAATATACACATAATGTATATATACAATCAGCGTAACATAAACAAATCCATTATTACACACAAGTTGATCGAGTCAATATGGCCTCGATACATGCTAATAAAACGGCAACACAATGTTAGCTTTATAGGAAAATAAACAGTTTACAGCAAATATCAACCAACACAGGTCGTGTGTGTAGGCTTAACATGCATGTGGCATTTATACGTACTAGGTTCGTATAAACAATATCACATTTTTTACGAGAAAACGTAAGGCCAATTTTACATTTCGAATATGATTTGTATTTCTCTATGCTATATTTAAAGACTGGGAAAGTCTGCTTTACGGCTGTTTCACAATCAGGGTGAACAATTAAATGTGGTTAATGTTACAAGTGTCTGATAAATTAACAATTTATGATTGGAGATTACAGATAGACTTATATCAAAGACACTATTCATAGCAAAATAAAAAAAGAATTATAATAATCGGATTACAATTTACAAAAATATAGCCAATTATGTGTTCAAAAAGTACCTATTTTTAGCTGTTACGGTGGGTCATTTGCAACTAAGGTTGAAAAACGTGCTGTGTGTTTCTCTAAAAACTTTTTGATTAATACATGTACTTGTATCCTTTTGGTTAAAGTACTGCTGTTATATCTTTAGTTCGATAATTTTTAGTATTTTGGAAAAAATAACTGGTAAACAATATGTTATTTAAGTTACTAAAGCATCAGTTCCTTGAATGTGTAGTGTCCGTACCCCCAAATCATAGTCTAAGGGGCGTTCTGTTAATCTGAGCGTAGCATAAAAAGTAATTAATATTGTGTTCTAAAAATTGTGGATATCATAGTAAAGATGTATTCTTTTTATCTGTTACAAAATTAAACAAATGCACCAGAGTTCATTTTTCTCTCAATGTGACCCCTATTTTGTACCCCTGATTGTGAAACAGCCGTTTAATATTACCCATCATATCCTTTTCATATACGATGCATTTGATTTGTTTACACCTGGAAACTAGTAATTAAGCATGTACCCTGTATGTAATCGAAGTGTTGTTTGCTGATTTTCATAAACTGAATGATGGTATATTGGCAAGATAACGGGTGGGCGAACAACTTATTAAATCTAAATGTTTTTTTTTTCACTCCGATATAATGTACATGTAGTACAATTATAATAAGTATATTATAGTGTCATACTCAGTGAATCACACATGTGGAAGACATCCTTTGTCCATATGAGATCACCACTGATTGGATGAGAAGAGATTGAAGAGAACAGTGAATTGCCTTAACAGTAAAAGCCTACCATCACGAAAGGAGCCAAACACTGTAAAACGTCCATTCCAGTAAAATGAGTACAATAGCAAACATTTCTTTGGTATATGTTTTTGTACTAGCTCTTACATTGTCTAATGAATGTAAACGTCATAGAATTTTGGAAAAAATTAAGCTGAAAATGATAATGAAAAAAAAAAGTTCATATGAAATCAAAATATTGAATATACGGATTGGTGTTTGTGCTCATTTGGAGACTTCTGGGAAAACAAAGGCTGTGGGCATGTGTACTTATCATTGAATTGTATACACAGAGGTTGACAGATTGCAGTAGGCAGAACTGGTATGCTTTATTACATAAAGCAGATAAACTAAGAACTCATAGGGCTTTTAAAACAAATGAAGTGAGTGAAGGACTTGCTATTTGGCACCATAGTATAGAATAAATCGAGATACCATTAATTTAGACATCAAAACTAAAAAAATGTTCAGATTAAATTGGACGCTATGATTGCATGGAGTTGAAAAAAATATTTGGCATGCCTCTCGAGAAGTTACAAACACTAATGCGCCTGATTTGGTCTAAAAGTCTAAAAATCTTACATGGTCTTTAAACATGAGTAAGAGACATAACTGGGCTGACTTGTTACACACTTGTCTCTCCTTATTTTGAGGGGAGGAAATTGCTTGACCACTTAAGCAGATGTTAGATCATTTTTGATTTTAAAAGCAAATTCAATCCATTTAAGACATACTCAGGGTCTTCCGGAAGACGGTCAGGTGTTCAAGTTTACATTGACTAGTTTTTTTCTGTCGGAAGACGGTCAAAAATTGAGGATGGGTCAACAAAGATAATTTGGAAGACTGTCAGAGAATATCTCTGGATCCGCCCCTGGTAATGATTAAGAGCGTGTAAAATAACTTGTGGTCTGAGAGAGCGTTCCCAGAGATTTAGAGCAATCCAACTAGATCGACCTAACTTCCTGGGGGTTCACGCTAAATTGCTGTCAGCCGACCGCGCACGGAAGTTAGTAACCCCCTTACAGCTTTTAGTAGGCGGGACAGACATTTAAGCCGGCTAAGCTGACGGTAATCTAGTGATACTCCGATAGATCGATTAAAAATCTTTGGGAATGGGTTCTGAAATTGCACTTTAAGACCAAATCGAGCGCACTGGTGTAAGGAAATGAGAAAGAGGGAGATTTTACCAATAACTTTAGTAACTCCACTTTCCTCCCAGAACATAAACTTAATTAAGATAGAAACAACTCACACTTTTCTGTAACTAGCTGAGAAATACATAATTAGTATATCTACCAGTGCTCTTCACGCGAATAAAAATCCACCCACATCACATATTAATATTCTTGAAAGCTTCTTATACTACCCAATTCATATAGTAAAAACGCCAAATCCCTTTAAATAAAATTTTATCAACATAAAATTCTAGTATTGTCACTCATCATTCCTCGTCTCATCAGTACTCTTACGGCAGCTGTACTTAACGAGACAAATATAGGCGATAAATGATTAACACCGCGTCATTTTTAGTGAAAAAAACGAGGCTATGCCCAAGAAGGCCCGGAGAGCAGTTATGTCGTTCTAAATCACTTGTCAGTCAGTTGGAATAAAATGATCAAACTGAAAGGTACAGTTCTGGCAATAATTAGTGAGTAGAAGTGAAGTTAAACTTGAACTCATGTGATTTGACATATAACTGATTTCGTTATTTTAAAAAGGGGGTCATTTTTATCCAGCCAAGGAGGTTATGTTTGTCGTTTTGTTTGTCTGTTTTTCTTACATGTACAGAAGGATTATGGAGAAGTTGTAAACGAATTATGAAATAAATATAATATATCTGTATGCCTGTATGTACAGGTAACATTAGACAGAAAGTTCACACGTTAGATATTTAGGAAATTTCCTGGATGGGTTAGAATTGGGCTTGGTTTTTGGTAATAATTAATTAATAACGATTATGTTATACAGTCAAACTTTACTAGTGGTGCACTGCTGGGGGCCATAACAAGAATGTAATTTAAATTTAGATAGCCAACCAAGTTCTCATGACATCGTTGTGTATGTCTCAACAACAACAACAAATCAAAGAAGCGGCATGAGCAAGGAGGATGCTGTTATAAAAAAAGCAGAAAATATATCGAAAATACGGTCAAAATGGCATTCATTTTTGTGGAATTCCGACCCTACCTCATTTTAGGAACAGTTCGTTTAGGTTTTGAATGAATTATTGAAGCAGGGAATACACCTAATGCAAGATGATATACAGGGTTACTACTTAATATGAAATATTAATTTTTGGCG